CTTGGAAAATAAAAACGAAACCCATGTGGAGTTGGAGTATCCCTCACCATATCCAGCGTATCCCTCATGTCCATAGAACGCCGAAAGAAGAAAAAAAAAAAGAACAGAGAAGCGGCAAGACATAAGAGATTCGTCAGGGAGCTGAAAGTAGGAAAGATCAAAAATCAAATGGACGTTCATGGTCTCATAAGTCATGAAAAAAGTAAGAATCAAGGTGGCTCGAAATAACACAACACTAATAAGAGATCTGCTGTGACTCATGGACCTCGTAAGGGTTTCCGTCACGGTAAACAGGCGTATGGTCACTCCGGGATTCGTTCGTCGAAGGGGCGTATTCGATCTCATCAGGCCAGCGATGATGGCGGGAAGGCGCACCCTGGCTACGAGCGCGGCGACGCTCACGCCTGACAGCGCGCTGAGCACATTCCTCCCGAAAATGTGAGTTTTCCTTGCTCTTCTCCATAACCTCCTTCCACTCACTATAGGCACCCTTGATGCCTAGTGCAGCGAGACCGATACTCACAGCGTCCTTCGTGTTAGCTTTCATGCGGCGTTTGCGGGCCTCCTCAGCCGTAATCTCTCCTTCTTTCAACTGCTTCATTCGCTCCTTCCTCTTCTCCATGCTCCCATAGATACTGTGCGCAGCGTGGATGGTGGCCACACTGGCCAGACCTCCCGTCATCAGCATATCCCGCTTCAGCTTCTTCCGTTGCTTCTTTTCATCAGAACTGTCGCCTAAGTCAGAATCACTCTCGGAGCTCGACCCGTGGCCGCGGTCCTTAGAACCGGCACCTGATTCACCGCGCGATGCGCTGGTGGGTGCATATGGGGGTGGATTTCTTCCGTCCAATGAATGGTGTCGACCTACATCTCTCGAGCCTTTGCCCCGTCTCGAGTCCCTGTTGTGATAATCGCTGTCCGTATCTGAATCCGAATACTCGTCGTGTCGATGTCCCCGGCGATGACGCCGCTCTCGATCGTCCCAGTGCTCCCGACGATGCTCCCGATGATGCTCCCTACGATCGTCTCTGCTGTCGCGGCGACGGTCGTCTTCTTCTCCAAGTCCCAGGGCGGCCATTCCCTTGCCGATGTACTCCGAAACACTCTTGCTGCGCTTGTGGGAGCCACGCTCCTCGTCACTGTCACGGGAATCGTTGCGGCCGCGAGGCCGAGAACGTGATTTTGAATATCGATCAAAGATTTCCTTCCCTGCAGCAGCAAGGGCTCCAGTGGCAGCTAGGTTCTTGAGGCCACCTGAAGAGCGACCACCGTCTCGACCACGAGACCGTGAACGTGAACCACCACCCATGAAATGACTGGCAGCTAGACCTGCAAGCGTGGACTCGACAATATGACGTGTTCCATGCTTGTTGGGATCTTTGTCTACAAGGCCGTCGGTGCCACCAGCAGTCACAGCGGCAGTTAAAACGCGCTTCCCTTTCGCGCCGGCCCAGTCACCGGGCTCTTTACGCTGTTTGAAAGCCTCGACTGCGCCGGCCGTCAAGGCGGCGCGAGCAGCCTGTGCGATGCGCTGTTCACTTTTGTCGCGTTTGCTACCGCCACGATGGCGACTGCGACTTCTCGAATCCGAAGGTGACCTTGAATATGATCTATGGCGACGACGGGACGGGGAACGACCGCGACCACGGTCTCCGCGACTGACCGAAGCAGTCGCACCACCGAGACCTAGGGCACCCAGGGCTTGCTCGCTGAATGACTTACGACGTCTGTGGCGGGGCGGGGAACGGCTTGGCGAAGAATCAGAATCGTATTTCGGGCGACGGGAGCCTGAGACATATTAGAATCAGAATCAATTTCAACCATATCAGCGCTACATCACTCACGTTTATCCTCGTAGTGTCTTGACCGACGAGGACCAGAGCTTCGGTAAGTAGCATCGTTGTGTGGATCGTAACCGCTGACGGAGGAGGCACGGCGCACATTTTCGTAAACAGGTCGCCTCGGCCGCCGGGAGCCATAAGGACGCTCGTAGGCATAGTCTGAGCCTGGTGGGTACTCGCGCTGTACTTCCTCGATCGAGTCTGTGCTGGCACGCGGTACATATGAGTCTCGCTCGTGCCTTCGATAACGGCCACGAGGATCATCATACGGATCAGCATAACTGGCTCGTGTATAGCGGTCGCGCGGCTCGCGATAACGGCGGTCCTCGTAGTACGCCATGGTCGAGGCGAATGTGACGGGGAGACAAATTGAAAGACAAAAGGTCGAGAGCTGTGAGCTGCTACCGTTCACTGGGAGAATATGTGAGACGAAAAAAAAGAAGTGTTCGTGATCAGAGATGTATGGCGGGGCTGGAGGTGGCGTGACGTCGATGTGGGTTCAGATGGGTTCGAGCGAAGTATTCGGGGCTGATAGACTTGGCAGTGGCTGAGAGTTTAGACCGTACATGGATTTATGGCATAGAAGAGAAGTACAAAGTTCAAGGCAAAAAGGACGAATTTTTTCAGAGAGTATATATACTTGCGAATCAAGATTACGCCAATGACGTACAAAAGAATAGCGAAGGAATGTTCAATGTTTCCAAAGCGGATATACCCCATCGAATGAGCAACCGGACTGATGTTGTGTATCAGATATCAGATATTCCTCCGACGTCATCCTGCATCTTAGGTATCAGGGAATTTTCAACGGCCCAGCCCTATAATATACGCAAATGCAGACAATTCGACGATTTTTAATAATCTTACTTCTATTCTCCTGCAAAACGTGTACACAAATATACAAATATACAACATATTGTTGTATACGGGATGAAAACTACTCGGGATTAAGATTTATGGAACGTAAACAATGGTTCCACGGGTCGCCTTCGGGGGTTCCCAGTGGCTTACGATCCGACCAACACGATGCTCTGGATCTCGTTGGGTGCAGAACTGGTTGCACACAATCTCTCATGGGAATCCCTGAAGGGAAGCTGCACAGTATTTGCTATAGAACACGCCTCTCACAAATTTTCAACCATCACACATAACACGAGAATTCAACACATGGTACACGAGGGATATAAAACAGTGAAAACAATAAAGACACATAGTAACACCCATAGTAGGCTTAGACGTCTCGATGACTTGAAACGTGCAGTCATGCAAATGATCGCTGAGGGATGGAAAAAGAGAACAAAAATAAAACATATGTTGAGAGTCAGGATTGAAGAAAAAGGACAAACAGACAGAACCAAATGACACCGCACAGCAGTGGCCAAGCACAAGGGACCAACAGAGCCTTGGAAGGAGGAAGAGGTGTACTAAACAGCAGATGGAGTGGACGGTCGGAGAAGACCGAACTGGGCTCCATTATGGCGCCGGAGGACCAGCCCCTGGAACAGGCCGTACGCCTGCCTCGATAGGTTGACTGATATTGTGCTGGTGGGAAGCCGAGGCGTATGCCGAGCCAGGACCAGCCACCGCCCATCGAGCATCAGACTCTGGCTCCGAAGTAGAGCGCATCTCGTCCGAGTGCGTGCGGTGAGTTCGGATGTGTTGTTTCATGTTGTCTTTCCTCGTAAAAGCTTTGTTACAGATGGGACAGAGCACGCTCTTTTCGCCAGTGTGCTTTTTGCCGTGCCGCGCAGCATGGCCAGAAGTTGTAAACGTTGAAGAGCATCCATGGCTCGCAGCATAGGGACACGGGTACTTGTTCTTTCGCCCTGTGCCGCGCGTCGCTCCGGTCTGAGAAGAAGCCCTTTCGGATGTGCTCGAGCGAGGCTCAGGTGGCGTTCGAGGAGCTGCTGGGCCACGAGCAGGGAATCGGTATGGTTCCCGTCGCGGATCCTGCCGGACATACGGGTGATAAGATGACGACTGACTGGTGATATAGTCGTAAGCTGAGCCATCGGACGATCCGGGCGAAACGGGTTGGACGACTTCAGTCACGTCCAAGTGATACCTCGTCCCTCGTGGTGATGTTGCTGGAGATTCGGATGAAGCTTGGGGACGGGTGTGCTGTGGATCGGTGACGGGCGGGGGTAGTGTGTCTGAATGATGTGGATAGTATGATGGTGATATGTGAGTCCGACTAAGTCGGGGAGCGGAACGGACCGCAAAAGATGGGTTATCATCATTATTCAGAATGGACACAATACTCGTCCTACAGCTGGACATCTCCTCAATGCCCCAATGTGCGGTCACCGGGGCTGGAAAGCTATACTAAAAGGAAGAATCCAAGTTAGTTTAGGGTGTTGGCAGCCGGCTCAGCCGGGCTCTGGATGCTCGTAAGAACTCGAGAGATCACCGATCTGAGACAAAGGGAGAAAAGGGAGGAGGGCTTTGAAGAAGAGAAAGAACATCTCGCTCATTTCTTGCCCGGAGGACACGACAAACGCACCAGCGGCTCTCGAAAGATGTTTGTCCTCTGTGTCGTGTAACACGTCGACAACATTAGACCCTAAATCGGGCACTCGCCTGCAAACGTGAGCAGAGGCCGGATGACTCGAGCTTGTGCCGGGCTTCGTATGTCCTTTCTGAGGGGGATGTGACGAAAAAGTATCTCAAAGGTCGTTGAATACCGAAGATACGACTCGGAAGCGATAGGGCAAGGCGAGGTCTGACAAATCTCCTTCCGTCGCAGTGGAATTGTTCCGAGGCTCAGATCCTCTTTTCTTCCTTTTCTCCCTGGGATTTTCTTTTTTTCCTTTCTAATTTTGCAATTGGATGTGGGGAACACAATTCTCAACGGCAGTTGCAAACTGGCCTGGGGATGTTGCAGAAAAGTCGAAGTTCGACGCCGGTTGTCTAACTGCGCAAAGTAACAGTTCCAGATAAGTGCTAGGCCGTCTGGAAATATGTAGAAACGAAATGCGTTCTGCGCGTGTCCGTGATAGAGGTTGAAGTGGGAATGCCCGGGTGATATCCCCGATATGAGATAAGATGGCGAGGGGGAATTGACAATCGGGATGAGGAGACACGGAAATATAAAGATGAACTCAAAGAATATAGATCAAGTAGAGAGGGAGAAAAATGGAGCCAACCATGGCCACTGGTAACTAATTATACTAAAAAAGAGCGAAAGGAGCCAAGCTCCAGGGTCTGTCGAGGCTCAGAGGATACACTTCCAGCAGGCTATTTAGTTGGAGAATTAAAAAAAGAAAATGATAATGTAAAATCCCCAAAAAAGAGATATAAGACACAATACAATACATACCAAGACCCCTAATCCACCTGTGCAGACCCGTTTTCTTCTCCGTTTCTTCCGACCCGCAACTCCAGTGTCGAGGTCTGTGGTATTTGTTTTTTTCTTAGTTTTTTGTCTCTCAGATCTCATTACTCAGGCTTCATTCACCTTCCGAAGCTTTCTTTCGCTTTTTATCTAAGTATAATACGTAACGTGCGCAGTCGGAAGTGTTAACTCCGGGTTGTCATTCGGACTAGGGCTTCGGCTGAACCAAGCGAAAACAGGAAAAGATCCACCATATCGGCAGAACTGCGGGCTATCATGAGACCATTGGACCCTGAGATTAAATGATTTTATTTCCGGGATTTGTGATTTTATGTATTTTATCCATGTACTCCGTATGGAGTGTAGGATTAGAATCTAAAAGAACCACGGACAAGCTTTTAGCCCTGTCCACATTATCCATGCAATGTACGTATTCATACTCCGTAGTCCATACCCGAAATCGTATAGCTCACTCCTAGGGCTACAGTTCTATCTGGAGAAATCCAGAACATACGTAAGTGATGATGTTGGTGTCTTGGCCTGTTTGGGAACTCACCTCCGGCTTGGGATTCCATAGTGGGTATTGGCCTGAATTCGGGAATTCCGACATTGATTGGTTGATTAGCTCCTTAGTTTCTTACAGATTATAGTTCTGTTTTGTTCTGTTTTATTCTTTTATTTATTACTGCCGGGCGATCTCGCCCTACGGTATAAATGGAAAAAAGTGAGACACAAAACGCCCAGCCCTGAGACCTCTAACGCTTTAACGTTTTGATAATCTATTTTGCCTTCAAGCTATAACATCGCCCCCTTGTCGGGCTTTTTGTTTTCTTGAAAGGGTATTTTGCACCGAGATTTCCTCTCTTTTCCGAGACCGTCCAAGCTCGCGACAATTCTTCTCTGCTAAAATTAAAGGTAAAATATACCGTTATTATGTACGAAATACGAAGGTATACGCATTTTCTCCGCATTTCGAGTGAAGATAATCTAATTAACCTAATCTGGATCGTCTCTGCGTCAACATTGCAAAATATTCGCGTAGGGCCAGGGGGGTGAAGGGACTGGTCCGTGCAAGTCTTCGTATTCGCGTCCATCCGCCCCGCTCCGACCCATTCGCGGGGACTCTCCAGGGCTGACATTCCTTTTACAACATACGTTGTAGTACAATGAAACAGACATTATTTCTAGGAGAGGTGATATATTTAGCAGAGACGGGACCGGCCTCTATTGCATTCTGAATCAACCGTGTACTCTATCCGGTCGTGTATCAAACTGCACCCTTCCTTCTTTTCCCTCGTTTCTCCCGAGTACCACGCGTGGCACCGCCGATCAAGCTAAGCTTCAATCTTCCGATCCGCTCGAACCAATCTGAGAAAGATGTTACAAAGTTCGTGGGCTGAGGACGCGGACCGTTTTGGGGCTTTCCCAGCCGAGCATTGATTTGCCTGTACTCGATCTTAGACGGGGCATACGTATGCGGCCTACGTACATATCCACGGGAGACGTATATCCACGACGTATATCCACGATAGTTCGGACTGTCTAGTCCAGCTCCGGCGAATACGCTTCTGTGCTTGTTTCGACTAAGGATTTAGTGTTCGAGCCAATTCCCTCACTCGCCGAGCTTACGCCACAGGCTTGATTCCTCAGGGCCCTGTACTCGTCGCTTTGTTTTTAGGTTCCTGGAAGGACCCTGTATTTTTGGTTATTTTCCTTCCTTATTTTATTCGGACGCAGGGACTCGTGGCCCGCTTACTAGGATGAGACTAGTTAGGCGTTAACCACCAGCATAGCTTCTCTATAATCACCATTCCTGCTTAGCGGCATGGATACCCTAATAAATTACTACCGCTCCCGCCACTTTTTGGCCCACGCGGCCTTTTATATGCTTACGTGTTTCAACCCTTCCGCGGAGTACGAAGTAACTATAGAGGCGTAAAGATTGTACTGAATAAGTAACTTGGGTTTATTGAAGGCCTCAAATCTCCCGATACCGAGACACTCGGAGATTTTATACCCGATGTCCGATAAGAAAAAAGACCATGGTCATCTCCACCCAGCTCCACCATTTATCTTCCCATCTTCGAATCAGAAAACGATAGTCGGCGTTCAGCCACATTCCCATTAAACTGTTGCCTGGTTTTCAGTCAGTACACAAAGTTAATGCTCGTAATCATCGGAATTTATGCTTAACTCCATAGAGACGATCCGGCAGATACATTCCCGGCCATCTACCTCCGTGGAGATTTCACTTCCACGCTAAATCCTCTTGTGGCTCGTGTTCGGATGCTTTCGCACTATTGATTTTCGATCTATTTCTAGGCTTCGGAGCCATAGATAATTATGGGACCTATGCTAAGTCATTGATATAGGATTTCAGTGCCTGGAGATGCTCAACATCTTTTCGACCTTGGAAGGTTTGCAATGGAGGTTCCACCTGGGCAAGGTTGCCCCCGGGGCCACCTGGGACCCCTTGCTTACAAAGCGGAGCGAAATGGCCCCGAGCTGTGGACTCATTATTGGTCATCATGGGTCATTTTGCTACAAACAATTCTCCAAAATCAAGTCCCTTGCAATGGTCTGAGCGCCTGCGATAACCCCAGGTATCGCAGTGTAGGCTACCGTCAAACCCTAGCTTCCAGAATTCTATTGGATATTGACTGGTCTCGGTAAAACGGCTATGCCTGTCCCTGTAAAGTCGAGACCCTTTTATTACAAACATATTCCTGAGTTCTCTGAGAATTAGATATCAAAAACTACCAAATTGTATATTGTAAGAACAATTCATCAGAACTCTCGTAGTACTACGGACTATCCGTCTCTCTAACAATTTCCCCTCCTGGTTCCCCATTTATCTAAGTTTATGTTCCCACTCTGAATCTGCTCATCCAATTGTATTCAAATGTTTAGCGGATGGTTGTAATTTCAGACGTTAGTACTAGTAAATAGGAAACACCATTCTTGTATTCCACCTTCCCAAAACAAACTTCCTATATCGGGCCACGCGGAAGATAATGATAACCATTATTATGCGCCACCTGCCAATAAACAAGGGTTCGGCCGAATGTGGTTCTTAGTGGAGTTGAGGATATATAAAAGTTGGAGGCCTGACGACAGTGTACAACGTACAATCTAAGTTTACTGGCCATTGGCATGTGGCTGAGACAAGACGCAGTTCATGCTTGGACATTTGAACTTGGTCAATCTGTAACAATAACCCCAGTACAGCAGCACAAAGAGACTCGGGTTTAATACTAAGATTGATTTACTTTATTTTTGTTTATTTTCGCGCCCTTCCAAACACGCATCAACCCTATAACCATATTAGCGTCCCGAATGAATGAAGCTGCGTAAGCAGAAACGTCATGTTGGTGGGCTATCCAGGCTCCATGCTGGTGTTGCGTGCATGCTAGGATGCCAAGCAAAAGGGAAATTACTTCAAACATCCATAGGTTAGCCCCTGCATATTTGGGTGGGGAGTCTGATGCGATATGGCGGCCACCTAAAGATGGTGCTAGGAGTCCCAGAGACTTTTTTCACCGAACGAAGATGTCGAATACGTGGAGGGGTGCGTATTGTTTTCGATTACAGAAATGTTTCATGCGAATTTCCAGCGTCCTTCTTAGATCCGAGGTTTTGATTCTAGAGACAACATATATCTTCAGATAGGAAGATTATAAACTTCACTCCATTGCTAAGGCCTTAGATAACGTGTATGGTTGTTGGACTGAATCATTGTACCTAAGTGAATCGACACGACTATCGCTAGTGTCGGTATCGATACAGCCTACCAGAAGTCCTTTTCAAAGACCCCTTAAACTACGCTGGACACTGAAACGTACGTATGTCTTACATATTATTGACTGTCAACGCTAGAAAGATGGGAGATGTACTCCGTAGGTGGCTAGCAGTTAACAGCTTCGGTTCTCACCCTGAGAGATATCATCCCCCCGCGACATCGATTCTTGTCTCGCCATGCCCACTTCCCCTTCTACTATTTTGATAGACTAGTTAACAAGCAGAATCCTCCAATTGAGCGAACTTCTTGAAATCAAGGTACTGGGTATGGTCCTAAATATGCCGTGGAAACACATTGGTGAGTCCGTGCTGACATTCGTTTTATCGGTCTTTGCAGACTCTTGAACAGGCGAGTTTCTACGCCCGGTCCCTTATCCCCTCTCCAATCATGCAATACCTCGACGCCTCTTCGTGACCACCTACCTAGGTTCTATCAAGGTGGAATATCATGCAGTCAGCCAAAGCTGATCGTCCAGCCTGCCTGTCTCCTTCCCTCTTTGTCTTCCGCTGCATCGTCTTATCCGAGAAGGAAGCAAGCACGTGCACCATTCTCTCCAGGGTTGCGCCTAGTACGCATGTTATCCAACTTCGAAACGGAACAGAGGCGATGTCGCTGGGTGGGACACAAGGGCACCAGCGACCGGGTCGTGCGTGTGACGAGTGGCCACGCCGAAAGCTGCGCTGCAACGTACAGCAAACACAATGCGGGGTTTGTCAAGAGATAGGGACTGTGTGCGAGGTGACACAGCGTGAGGTTTGAGGACCAAATAAGGGTCACCTGGAGGTTAGAATGGAGCCGTGCATCTAGAGCCTGTGCTGAAGAGCTGTCTTCTGGCGTAATAGGAACAAGAAGGCTTCTATGGTTCTCCGAGTAGGAATAGGTTCGCAACATCGGCGTTGCGGAGGAAACAGATTTCTCTAGACCTGTGTATGTCAACGGCTACAACTTCTCCTGTGTCGGTGCTCCAGGCGTTTTTATTTGTACCTGACTTGGCTTGGCTTCCTTGCGGGCTAGTCTTATTGCTTGATATTGTCAATAGACATAACCCGCCACAATTCATCTAGTACCATGATCCAGAGAAAAAAGCAAGAAAAGATTCGGAAATCCAACACTAGGCATGAATCCAAAGTCAGAACCCTCGACCTTGGCGATTAGCACCACACTCTAACCAACTGAGTTATGGAACCCATATTCGATGTATGCTTGGCAACTTTTCAATTCTATAAGGGAAAAGCCGGATTATGTATAGGTCGACGGCATCCAACTTCAAAATATATATTTTACATGGGTGCTCGTTCGAACACAAGTCGAAGGATCATCACCTAGGCAGTCTCCTGTGTTGACGTGGTCACTAACATCTTCATCTCTTTCTTCCACCGCTCTTTCGCTTCACGTTCACATCGTTTCCCCCTACTCTACATCTAGATCATCCTCTACACTACGTCATCGACAACAGTCAGAGACACAAAATCATAACAAGCTAGATAATACCTTACCAGCGGCAAACGGAGACTTATTGCAGCTCGAATCTCGACGACGCATTTTCTCTGCAGTTTTAGAAACAGCCCACCGAAGCCTACTTCGGTTACTCGCTCTAAAAAGAAGCAAAAATAACGCATTTTTTTGGATGAAGTGTAATCAATAAGATAAGTGACTAACCCGTGGACTACATGCTTAGTGAGAGATTGGAGGTGGCGTACCCACGGACGGGCATTGTCAAGGGCTACTCGCAACAGCCCACTTTATTTCATGTAGTGACCCCTTCATCTTGTGTAACACTTCTATGGTTGCCCTCAGAGATTCATATCATATCTACTTGATAATCATGCAGCCCTCAAGGTCACACATTCAATCACCATGTTACACAAAGTGATGATCTGCATAGGTGTACCTGAAACAGGGAGCCAACTGTTGGTAACTTCGAGAAGACTACTGAAAATACAAAATCTCAGCTATCCAGCGCTTTATTAAAACTCCCAATTTAATCTCAAGAAATCCATGCACGGGAGTATCCCAATAATGGCTACAGCGACTGTCACCATGTCCCGGAAATCCGATTTCACACCATTGATGTGCCATTGTTTTGCATATATAGTTATCATCCTCTATCACACTCAACGGCAGGTTCGAATTTATAGCACGAAGTTCTCCAAACACAAACCGTTTCTTTTCATACATATTGGCACTGGGATCATGGAATCGACTCGATACCACATCTCTAAAGCCAGACGTAGGAATGATGATATCCTCCCGGAGGTAACAGACGTGCTGTCTTGCCTCCTCTGGTCTTGGACCAGCTTGGTGCTCGTGAAGACGCTTCGGCGCGGCGATCCACTTACAACTCGGCCACCTTATCAAGCTGGTGCAATTTTGCGCCCAGTCATCTCCGTCACATCGTACCTACTCCAATTGCCCAGCTTACAGAGTGTCTATCTCTGCGCTCGACAGCTTCGTTTATGCCCGACTGGCGATCTTTTTCTTCACCTACACGCCGTATCTACGCGGATACTCCCACAGCACAATTTACTCGCTCTCTATTCCACTAGCAGCTGCTCTCAGTATTCATGAAAGCCGCGTTCGTGGCGCGTCCCTAGTGTTCATACTTGCGACGGCCTACACCGCAAAATTGAATGAGTGGGTGACGCATAGATCAAGGATCCTGCAGCGGCAAGTTATGGCAATCCCCTCTTCTTCAAACTTCCCCTAACTTCATAAAAAAAGATCCGAAACTAGGTCATACATGGCTATGCTCGAGAGATATGTCCTTGCCGGGTTACTCCATATTGGGTTCGCCGAGCTAGAGAGGCTGCGAGAAGTTTCCACGAACGACGCGCTGACGAAGCCTCTCAATGACGACTACGTACCAAAGCTGGAACATATCAGCTGATTTTGACTATTATAACTGGTTATAAGAGGGACATAGGGTGTTTTCCGCCACTCGCCGGTTGCCTTGCTGCGCTCTTGCTCTAATGAGTCTATTCGAATGTACCGTTATAGGTCTCCGGAAATTATGACCCGGGAGCATACACCACATAATAAACTCTATAGAATCTGTATACAGTGGCCTAGAACCAAGCTTTGGTGCTGTTCATTCGCAAAGTATAGTTTGAAGATAAATGAGTGTTTATGCCAAATAAAACTAGTGGCATGGGGGCTGCTTCCTCTTTTTCGATTTCCCTCCTATTTATGCCTTCAATTTATGGTAGTTGAAATAAATTGTGAGGTAGAATGGGTCATTCATTTACCATTCATGTGCTTTGTTTATTAGCAGCCGTCAGGGCCGTCAAAGCTTCCAGCCTTGGAACCTTGTTTTGAACGATAAGAACTGAGGTGAACTAATACCACAACCGTACGGGGTAGTCGATTCAATGGCAAACGAGTGTGATTTCTAAAGAGCAGTAAGATGCTCAATTAGTTATTTAACCCCTATAGGCTTGCAAATTGCTTAGGTGGCTACTGTATGAAGAAAGTAAATACAAACGACGGGATGGGACAGACGTAATTTGGCTGACAGAAGCAATTGAAGCACCTTCCCTTCTCGGCGAAGCTTCGCCGGCTTTAGAACCACGTGTACGGGCTACACTAAGGTGTAGTAGGTGTAGGTAAACAGGGCATAGATATCATGCCTAGCTAGATAAATCATTTTAGTCCAATTAATTTAATAGTGCTTTGGCTGATATAAATGCATTTAAATTTAATGGGTTGGATGGGGTGCGCCGCTCGCTTGCCGAATACGTCAACTAGTTACTAGTTAGTTGCACCCGAAGTCATCTAGTTATGTAGCTTCTCATTAGTGAAATCGGTTCATAACCTCACGAATAGCGGCAAAGCGCGAAGATCCTCGCTGGAAAATGTTTCGGGCCCTGCTTTCTCGTTTGAACGATAACCGCCCCCGGGGGCAGGCTAAACGAGGGAGAAAGAAAAAAAAAAACATTGGGGATTCTCTCCGATCTGAGATATGCGACTCCTAGGGCCATGGCGCCAAGACCAGATTCCGTCTCCTTGGGATCTGTTTCTCGAGGATCAAGGCATTCCTACACTGCAGTTAGCCCAATTCAAGACTAAATATCCGAGAATGACAAGTGTGGGACTGATACCGCACGGAGTCCAGATGGGAGCTACAAAAACCAACACTTTCAGCTCCGTCGGCAAGACTGCATCGCTCCGGGTATATCCTATCCATCGTGCTTTTGTACATTGGCTCGGCAATCTTCGCATAGGTGGTGATATGCTATTTATCATTCCGTCCCATCGCCACCAAGCATTACGACCTGCGGGCCCTTGATAACAGCAACTGGGCAGAGCCTGATAGGAAGTACAAAAATCCTCTTTTCGGCCGCAATGAACGATGGCAAGGCATTGCGCTGCTCGAATTATCCAATGGGTTGTCAGTGTTTTGACTATCCCCTTGACGTCTGCGGTCTGCTCCAGCGCAGCAGTTATTTTCATCCAACGAAGGGCCCACAAGGCTATCACAGTCCGGCAAGTGATGACACTGGCAGATAAAGGCTAGGCCGATCTTGCAACCTACGCCAGAATTATTCCATTCTTCCCCACCGATGGATGGAAACGGTTCGGAAGTTCGTTGCTTCTGCTGGCTATACTTCCGAATCTCCTCGGTTCGGTAATATCGCCGCTCCAGCAATTGTTCCTGTCGACGCGCACTATCAAGATACCAACTTACCCTAGTTGGGTTAATGTCAACTGGATATCCCAGATCAGTTTAAAGGTGACGCTGATCGAGATTCGAACCTTGTCGTGGCCATGACACGAAGCGCTTTAACTTCAACGACAATTTCAGAGGTCCAGTCCCAGCTCTAACAGGGCGCCACGTCACTTGCGTGCCCAGATATGGCTCCAAGAAATTGCCGCAGTCCTGCAGCTGCGGCGGTAATACTTGGCAGATATGCCCCAACTAGTGGAGCCATTTCTGGCGGAGCTCCCGAGTGACTGTAACACTGGACTTTATCAGCAATCTATCCCTCGAATCAATTCGAGTCCCCAGTATGAAAAATTGCATGAACTGAATTCCCCACCGGATACGACAAGATTGATGGTGCCTTCTATGTCGACTATATGAACGTCCCTACCGACCTCAACGGTCTCGTGGATACCTGGGGAATGCAGGCGTGTATGCCTCGGGACCTGACGACATCGCTATGGAAATCGACCCGGGATCGACAAGACTTCACCGAGGAGCTGTATTTGAATGTGACATTGATTCAATACAAGCTGAACAAGGTTCAGCAAAACAGCACTTTCTATAAAGTGATGCTCGACACAACTGCTGGTAATTTTGAGTTACCGAACTATATGAATGGCGAAATTGCTGGGTCCTTGCTAGAAAAGGATCCCAATAGACTTTGTGGAGAACATTGTGAACGACAAACGATTAACGGTGAGTAAGCCTCTTAGTTTTTACTTTGCTTTCTTCTTGTTTTCAAGCAAGCTACTCACACATCTAATGCAGTGAGGGACGCAAGGTTGGAGATAAACGGCGCGGTATCAACACTGCGAATGATTCCACTCTGCCGCTTGAAGTTGTTACCGACAAAGGTCCCCTACTGACAATAGTTTTGGCGCCATTCGGTGACACCTCTTTTATTCAAAGTCGTCAGGCACATCCCCAAGCTTATGCTTCCGTCATTTACCTGTGGAGCAGGTCCCTGCCTATGCAGGGTCTTGTGTTGAGCTGGCTCCCCTAGCTATTCTTCTCGCCGGAACCAGCGGCGAGTACACCAGTACTAATGGGATCGACTATTGCATCAGCAATACAGACGGAGGCGTGAACGGCATCGACGTCAACAGGGAAGTCGCCCAGTGGATCTCCAATTTCAAGACAAGAACGTGTCAGAGATGCCTTTGACGCTGGCGCGTTTCTGGCAGACAAAGCCTGGATGCAGAATACCGTTGGCCCAGCAGAAAAATCATTGACGGTAAATTTCGACCTTGGCGCGGATACACAAATTCCTGTCATATCCAGAGGTGGCATGATTTTTGTTTCTATCCTCCTTGGATTGTATATTTTGATGCTTATCCCGCTTGCCGTCTACGCCACTCGGTCGCCTCGTTGGACGCACAGCTGGACTCGTTTGCCAGGATGAGAATCGGAGCCGCTATTGCCGAAAAGCTGCCTTTGACTGTTGGTCAGAATAAGAACACGCTCAAGTTCCTGGACGAGATTCCCGGGTGGGTTGGCGACACATCGGGGGAGATGAACCGCTCGGGAGATTGGGACTTGGTGCTAGGAAGTCTCCAGCTTCAAGGGCGAATCGGCGGTTTGAATGTGAAGAGGAAGGTGACGAGGAGATCACAGCCGAAGAGAAGCGCACAACCCGTAGGAGGTGGGGAAAGGAGATCGAGAAGAGTACCAGAGTTGATCACGCTTAAAGAGGAGCCGCACTGGGCCATGTCAAATACCCAATATAAAGTCATCGTCCCATGACTATTCAACTTACCGATCACACCACTTCCGATATGTCTAATCCGATTCAGAGTCTTTTCCCGACCCAGCGCAGCCTTTGCATAATTATATTGGTCATGCCGTACAAGACCCTTATCTGGCCAAACTCTGGCCACAAGTCACAGAGTGACATTTGAACCTCCTTGGCTAATTTCTTGACTCGGATTGAAACCCTCAAACTCTTCCTCAAGTCATCTTAATATAATCAGGTCGTAGCTGGGCAATGGGTTCCCACGGACTTGAACACCTGGTAAAGTAAACCATTTTTCTGATATGACGACACGAAACTAGTCAAACCGGCATTCGAGGTCGTCGTGAATCGGACCGGTGAACCTGAAGAGTCCGCTTAGATTTGACTGACAGCTTACTGTATGTCCATGCACGCGTGTTCGCAGCTAGTGCCTTTACTATACGAGTAGCACAGACGCAGGAACATGTATCAACCAAAGTAACACCCGGTCCCGGGTCCACGGGTGTCCATAGTGCTTATGTAAAGCTATACCTTTCCCACCTGGGCAAACCCGTGGGAGCTTGAGAGGTCCAAGGTTACCCAGGTGTTTCCCAAGACCCCACCTCAAATGCACTAGTCCGTATCAGGATATATTGTGTCCATGTATTTCAATAACCATTTTGAGACTCGAATTGATGTGCTTTAACCTGGCATTAGGCAACTTGTTATATAAAAAGGTGTGATATCAAAGACGAGATTCGTTATGTAGCTATATTTAGATCAGGGCCTTGGTCACATAACCTTCGTCACATTACTGTAATCGCTGCTGGGTGGTGGCTGTTTATCCTGACTAAGCACCTGCAAGACCCCGCCATCAGTCAGCCCACTACGAAGACCGAAGAAGTGTTGAGAGGTACCGGTACCTGACCATACACATTAAAACTGTACCATAAGGCGGTAACCGGTACTTGCCAGGTTCAGGGACCTTGGCGATCCCTCACTAAGCCGAGAGTTTTCCTTCCCCTCTATTCTCCTTTTCCCTCTTTCCTCTTCCCTCTTCCTTTCTCCTCCATACACCCTTTGGTCAGTCAATTCGTACATCACTTTTGATATTTCTCACTAACAATCAACAGTTTTGAATACATATCCTCATAATGGCTGCCCCCGCACAGAAGTTCAAGGTCGCTGACCTCGTATGTCTCCGAACCACCTACTCTTTCTCCTTCAACCATTGACAATTCCCTAGTCCCTGGCCGCTTTCGGTCGCCGCGAGATTGAGCTCTCCGAGGTTGAGATGCCTGGTCTCATGGCTATCCGTGAGAAGTACGGTGCCGACCAGCCCCTCAAGGGTGCCCGTATCGCCGGTTGCCTTCACATGAGTATGTTGATGTATCACAAAAACAAAGCTTGTGCTGACCGCTCCTTCAGCCATCCAGACAGCCGTCCTCATCGAGACCCTCACTCACCTCGGTGCCGAGGTCACCTGGACCTCTTGCAACATCTTCTCCACCCAGGATCACGCCGCCGCCGCCATTGCCGCCGCCGGTGTCCCTGTGTAAGTTTTCATTCTGAGATTCCATAGCTTTTTGTGGGCTCCGTCTGACCAATCCTTTCCTACAGCTTCGCCTGGAAGGGTGAGACCGAGGAGGAGTACCAGTGGTGCTTGGACCAGCAGCTCCAGGCCTTCAAGGATGGCAAGAAGCTCAACCTCATCCTTGACGACGGTGGTGACCTCACCTCCCTTGTCCACACCAAGTACCCCGAGATGCTCGAGGACTGCTTCGGTGTCTCCGAGGAGACCACCACTGGTGTCCACCACCTGTACAAGATGATGAAGGAGAACACCCTCAAGGTTCCCGCCATCAACGTCAACGACTGTGTCACCAAGTCCAAGTTCGACAACCTCTACGGCTGCCGTGAGTCCCTTATCGATGGTATCAAGCGTGCCACCGATGTCATGATCGCTGGTAAGATCGCTGTCGTTGCCGGTTACGGTGATGTCGGCAAGGGTTGTGCCCAGGCTCTCCACTCCATGGGTGCCCGTGTCATCGTCACCGAGGTCGACCCCATCAACGCCCTCCAGGCTGCCGTCCAGGGTTACGAGGTTAACACCATGGAGGCCGCTGCCCCTGTCGGTCAGATCTTCGTCACCACCACTGGTTGCCGTGACATCCTTGTTGGCCGTCACTTCGAGGCCATGCGCAACGACGCCATTGTCTGCAGTAAGTCGTCTCGAGTCAAATCTTGAGCTGAGCATTAATACTAACGATCTTCTAGACATTGGTCACTTCGATATCGAGATTGACGTCGCCTGGTTGAAGGCCAACTCCCAGTCCGTTCAGAACATCAAGCCCCAGGTTGACCGTTACAGCCTCAACGGCAAGAACATCATCCTCCTCGCCGAGGGCCGTCTTGTCAACCTTGGCTGTGCTACCGGCCACTCTTCCTTCGTCATGTCCTGCTCTTTCTCCAACCAGGTCCTGGCCCAGATTGCTCTCTTCAAGGCTGAGGATGCCGCCTTCGGCAAGAAGTACATCGAGTTCGGTGCCGGTGGCCGCAAGCCCATTGGTGTCTACGTTCTGCCCAAGCAGCTCGATGAGCAGGTCGCTCGCTGCCACTTGGACCACGTCAACGCCAAGCTTACCGAGCTGACCCCCGTCCAGGCCGAGTACCTCAGCTTGCCCGTCAACGGTCCCTTCAAGCCCGAGATCTACCGTTACTAATTTCTTTACATTTTCAACTCTGTTCGATGATAATCTTGGGAAATAGACTTTCAACATGATTCGACGATGTTACGATTGGCATTTCGAGTTCTCCATCAACTTAGGAACTCAAAAGTGGTTGTCCTTCAACGGCATAAAAAGTGGCCTGCACCGGGGTGTGTTTCTATTGTTTTTGTTTTGGCGTGGGATGACCTGGGATGGTCTTGCATTCAACACTGCGTGATGGGATTTTATTCTTGATACCTTATTCTGGTGTGTGGGCCTCCATGGGCCGATTGTGACGATGTAGAACTTCAACAATCGAAGCTATACGTCAACATTTATTCCTCTTGTAGTTGCTCCCGTAGACGACCGACTTTCTCTTCATATTGCTGGCCATGCCGTAGGGTCTATTCTCTGCGAATCAATTCGGCCAGTTCATCTGCTACCACCACTGCGAAGTTGGGATCATTGATGTCACGCGAATCTCGCATGACTGATATCCCACTGCCCTCCAATTCCCTCTCCAAAGTAGAAAACAATACCTCATCTGCCTCGGGATCGTGGAATGGCTGACCAGGAACATCCAACATGCTCACTCCACCAACAGGCAGAATCACCTTCGTCCGCCTCAATTGCCCCCTATCCCTGGAATCCCGCAACAAGTTCCCTGCTATCAACGTCCCAATATCCGCACACTCCTTCTTAGTAGTCCTCATAAGTGTAACGGCCGCATTATGCTCATAAAACAACCTCTTCCCCTCCAGAAATTTAGCAGGAACACTCCCCACCTCCCCAAAATTAACCATATCACAAGCCCCAACACTAACAACCCTCGGAATATCCCGCACCGTAGCCGCAGTCAACCGTCCATCCCCAGCACTAAGCACCCCACCAACAACCTCATCCGCAATCTCCGTAGTCGTCAAATCAAGCACCGCATCAATCCGCCCCTCCCTCACAAGCCTCTCCAAAGCCCTCCCCCCAGACCCCGTAGCATGAAAAACATAAACTTCACAACCAGGCAAGACTTCCTCAAGACGTTCCCGCGCGCGCTTGACACCAGGAGTCGTAACTCCAAACATGGATATACCAATCTTCACACCGGAAGATAACTCCGCCTCCTTATTACCCCGCTCGCGTTTCAAGAACGCACTGGCCATCCCGACGATCCCGCCAGCAGCATTGTCCAAAACCCCCTCGACAATACCGTTCCGGCCCGCGATATCAACAACGCTGTACATCATGCTGATGTCCGTTTCACCGATGAACGGCCCCACATCTCCGGACGTCATCGTTGAGACGATCAGTTTGGGGAATCCGACTGGTAGCCCGTCGCGCATCACTGCTGCCGCCAGCGTTGTGCCGCACGAGCCGCCGATGGCGAGGATGCCCTGGATTTGGTGGGATTCGTGCAGGTGGGTTACTTTTTTGGTGGCGTAGGGTACAAGGGTGGTTATGTACTCGGCTCGGGTGAGGGCTGTCAGATCTGGGATTGGGGTTGAGGGGGAGGTGGTGAGTAGGGCGCTTTGCGGGATGGTGATTTCTTCGTGGCGGCTTGGGTTGCGCCCACAGTCCATTAGGAGGACTGTGGCGTTGGTGGATTCGATTTGGGATTTTGTGTAGAGGAGTTCGGAAAGTTTGGTGTCGCATGTTCCTAGGAGGAGGATTGTGGGGGTGTTCGAAGGCATTTCTTTGGTTTCTTGGATGGAATTGAAAAAAGGGAAAGGGAGTTGAGTTGACGTTGAAGTCGGAAGTGGAGGTGGAGTGGTGGCAGTGGAGAAGACTGTATCTGGACTCGTGATATATCTTGGGTATCCATGCAGCTCCCGCTTTGCGATTGGAACAGGGAATCTCTCACAATTACACAATATGCATCCATAGTTTAGCAGACCAATTGACCTTGAATAATTTCCCAAACATACTTATCCTCATCCACCTCGAACAACACATGTGCTCCTTCCAACAGTGTCAGATTCCCAAGCGCATGCAGGTTCTCAGATCACTCAGCGATAGTCAAGAAGTGGTTCGCAACGAGTGCTCCCATCTTGCTTGCGAAAGCAACTCCTGCATAGCAGAACAGAGATTAGTCTGTCATTTTCGTCATTCTCCAGTTTGCTTTTAAAGGTGGAGATTCCTGATGGGCGGTCTACAATTAGCTTCCGGGTTCAGTTCTTGGCGTCTCCTCTGTCCAATGAGCTTGTGTGTGCCTTTCCCAATTCGTCCACTCGGATATACCCTGATTCCATGCCGACGTGCTCTTCTATATGCATGTGGGGCCATATTACTCTATTATACTGAGCTTGGAGTTCAAGTTGGGGAAACGCGGGGATTATCTACTCTACTCTGCGGGAAGACTTTTCTTTTGAGAATCTACTATGAGAGAAGGAAAGTCGAAAATTTGAGAAGAGAATGAATTGGATAAGTGACTATAACGGCGAGCAGATGAAGCGATCAAAAGCGAACTAAGTATCAATGAGAATACTGAAGAAAGAAAAAAGTATCCGTGATGGTTCAGTACATTGACAACCCTGGACTCGTGTGTTAAAGCACTACGCCGACAATGCCGCATACTCTAGTAGTTTGGTGGCGGCCGCACACGGAACCCAGGTAAAAAGTCAAGGTGTTCAGCATTGGAGGGAAGCCGACGCTTCTTTGCTCGAGGCCTAGGAGCTATGGTGTTCGGCCCCGGTATTCGAGTCTGCGGGTTACTCGACTTACGGACACGGACCTGATTCATGGCCGGTCTTGGAACTTTTTGTATACCCTGGTCCGGTCGGTAGTCCATGGGCCCTGGAGGCATGGGCCGTGGGTGAAACTCGGCCTGGGTTGTGGTTTCCGGCTTTGTTGGAGTGAGTGGTGGAACTCGACTCCGTTGAGTTGAAAGGCCTTCTCCGTCGAAGATCTTGACCAGCATCTGTGCTGCGGAGGCGCGCTCGTCAGGGTCGACTCTCGCCATTTCTTTGATTTCTCCAATTCTTGTTGTCATGGCGAAGATGGCTTGGCGGGCCTCCGAGAGGGAAGTAAAGCGGTGTAAATTTTGGCGAAGTCCATCAAAATCTACTGTCCATGCGATCGTTACAAAAAGGGACCAGACATCCATCTTGTGTGTCTGGGCTCCATGTTCATAAACCTCCGGGGCCGTGTACAACGGGGTCCCAACAGAACTCTGAGCACTAACAATGCGGTTGCATAGACCGAAGTCGCCGAGTTGGAACCGGTATTGGCCATCCGGCAGTGCGGTATAGAGAATGTTTTCCGGCTTTACATCTCGATGGACAATACCGTTCACCGCCAGGCAGTCTATCGCCTGAAGCATCTGGAAGAAGGCCAATTTGGCGACCCTGTGTACGGGCAGAGATTCACCTTTAAGGATCAAAGATTCAAGTGTGCCGTCCTTGAGCCCCATAAATATCTCCGCAGACGGCCCTTCCCAGCCTTGTGAGGTGATATAATCAATGATGTGCGGCTAAGGCAGCGTCAGTTCGGCGAGATCTTGCCCAGGTAGCATGAAAGCGTTACTAACGTGGCTAATCCGAGACAAAGTCTCGATCTCGCGTTTCAATAACTTCCTCCACCCTGCCTCTTCTGAAGGTCGCTCAGGTCGTTGTAATAGCTTGACAGCGAGGAACCTGCCGGTGTCGACATCGAGAACCTTGTATACAGCTCCGAACTGTCCAGATCCAAGTTTTCCAAACTTCATGTATCTCATCTTCAGCTGCTGAGGGCCGGCAGTGTGGATTCTGGTCTGCATTCGAGACGGTAAAACCGTTTCCAAGTCATCAGCCGTCCGAGCCAGGCGGGGATCTTCCTCGCAGTCATTCATGATAGACTCTCGATCTTTGATTATCTCCACCATTTCGGGGAAATCTTGATACCACAGAAACTCGAATTGGACGGTATTCTGTGCTCTGCCGCCCATCCCCAGACGACTGTTCAAGCCCTTCTGAACAACTACTTGACGAACACGCCCAGGCTCGAATGGCTTAGCATCGTCGCCAAACACCTGGGTTGTTTGACCATGGGACCTGTCGTAGAGCATAATCACATTGGTGGCCGGCTCGATCTCAAAAGAGCACTGGATCTTGGCGATAGTGATGCCATCTACAAAGATGTCCGCATCGCCACGTCCTAGTGTTGCAAGTGTGCGATTTTGATTTGACTTTGACCGTATCTGGAAGCCAATGTCAAGGACGAGTGTGCCATCAGGCAAGCTTGAAGTAAGGTGACGGTTGTAACGATCATTGACGACCTCTTTGGCTTGTTCGTTCAATGGCTTGAGGGAGAAGAGAGCTAGGCGATGGCGGTTTGGATACAACGACATGTCGAAGCAAGATTAACAGAACAGAATTATCAAACGGAGGGGAGGCAATGCGAAGGATTTTACAAGACATTATATATAACCTAGGTACATATTGTTATCGAGTACAAATGTGTGTACATGTGCTTAACCGCTACACCCCGGCGATATTGGGACTTGTTCGTTTCAGAGAACAAAATTAGATTGAAATGAGTACATAAATATAGAAATGAGGCGTGGAACGTTGGGCGGTTATTTATTGGACATAATTGTGTAAGTGAGTATAGAGTGAAGGGGCCAATGCCCGCGCTAGTCCATGCAGCTTAGCGCCCACGTCACACTGGCCCCGGGGGATTCTGTCACGACTCCAATCTCCTCATCTCCTATTTCACCCCCCATTCTTTTGAATTCCTTTTTTAATTCTCCCGATCCTCTCAGCATGGCGGACAGCATTAGATCTGGCCTATCTAATATCCACTCTGCGCTCGACAACCTCGTTAAAAACCCCGGACGACTTGATATTGACCGGTCACGTTTCGACAGAGACGCATCATACATTTCTCATCAGTCGCACAATTCAACAGCATCCATGAGCCCCAATGGCCCTTCGGACAGGCAAAGCCGACGTGATCTTCGAAAATGGCAACTGAGCAAGGACCACGAAGCTTCACGCCCCGATCAGCAATTTGACGTTCAGGTCAATGAAATGGAGGCCTGCATAATTGAGGGAATCGAAAACAGAACACTGGACGTCCCTGACGGCACAATTATGCGCATTCTCGCGCGAGACACAGTCAGGGAGAACTGGATGAAACAAGGGATCTGGAATAAAGAATGGGGAAAGACGCCTCAAATGCGGTGGATGCATGAAGCGTCGCCTGAAATTACTCCTGCACCCGAGATAGATACTGGTGCATTCAGCCACCTCCGAGATGGGTTGTTCTCGTCCTTTGGAAGTGCGTTGCCGACTGGCAAAAAGATACAAGAGGGCGGTGAGCGACGAGCCAAACAGAAGACCGGGGACGGGGCATCGCGCCCATTTCAGCAATTCATCTATCAAATATCAAAGGAGCGCGAACGAGTTCAAAATGACTCTGACTCTCCAGGTGGCACTGCCCCTGTTCCTACCTCGACAGATATCAACACGAAAGCTTACGAGACTGTGAAAGCTATCTGGGTCAAAAGAGGCATTTGGAATGAGGAATGGGGCATATTACCTGGGATGGCTTGGAAGCATGAAGGCCCTTTGTGGATTCCTGATAACGATTGTGATTCGATACCGAGTCCAATAAAGCCCAGGGAGCATGTTACCTTCAATATGGAAGATAAAATTGCGCTTTTGCAGGAGCCGCTTTTCCATGAGCCTTTGTCTACTCAAGCAGATGGTCCCGCTCCAAATGGTGGCCACGGAACCAGTAAGAGGAAAAGAGCGACCGCTCCTGTTGAAACGAAGAGACCAAGACGAAAGGTTTTCAAAACTACCAAGCCGGAGACATCAAATTCCAGGCGCGCAGTGCATAACTCTACCAACCAAGTGGATGTGCCTGATCAAGGGACTCAAGGTACTGGGAGACGTAGGAGCAAACGCTTACAGAATCAAACTAAAGGTTTTAAATGACAGAACTGGTGTGAAGCGCTTGGCCTACAGCGAGCTATTTGAATGCGTTACATTTCATAGGAATCAATTGTTCTATTGAGCTTGAAGAAATGCCTATCTTGTATGTACGATCGACAAAACTAGACTTATTCCTTTTGGCTCATCATGTGATACTGAAAGCTAGAATATTGACAAAAGGGAAGAGATATCAAATTCCAGGTAGTATTAGTCGGGAATACTTATCACATGCAGTAAATCCATAGACGTGCCCAGGAAAATAAGACCCAGTAAGATAGGCGTGACTTCCCAACTTGGGGCTGAGCTGATAGCGCGGCAAATGCAGATTAACTTGACAACCTAGCAAATTAGAATATGCAGATGATAGCAGGGGAAAGCTAGGCCATAATGGAAGCGCCAGGCGTCGACCCTGGTCGAAAATGATACCACTAGTTATCCCGGTAGTTATCGCGAGACTTTTGAGAGAGCAAACCTCACAGACTATACCCTACGCGCTGAAGGCTCTATCCAACGGAGCTGCCTATCACCCAAAGCGGCTTGCCTTGTTCTGTTATCTTCCGTAAAAGCCAGCACAGATCGCCGGAAGCAGTTCTTCGAGACGCCTCTTGAAATGGTTGACAGGGTCGATCGATTCAGCTTACTAACGTTGATTTTGCATTTGCTTGTCTCACATGGTTTGCCTACCAATGAGCCTCATAAGTCTAGCGCTCTTACTACTCGCCCACTGCAGAAGCACCATGAGCCTACTCCGCCACGGTCTACTCCGTGGCCCGAAATAGCTTTTAGCTTTGACGCTCCGCCGAAATATTACACTCTCGTTTGGAGAGCGTGCGCAAATTTGTTTCATTTGTTGTGACTAAGGACTTATATTATTAGAACAAGAGTCGAACAAGATAGTGTGCGATGACTAGTAGCGATACACTACAGGGATCGGACGACCTAGAGATAAACAAAGTGTGAATTAAGAGAAAAGGGGACGTTAATCCCAGCGAATTAAGGCACGAGCCACTAGCTGACTACCCGCGGATGGTAGGTTTAGGTAACTAATCTAATAGGAGGTCCACTACTCTAGTGGACGTAATGGGAGCTATGCCCATGAGTGATATATGCAGCTTACTATAGAAACTGGCTAGCTGCCTCTAGTTATAGCTAGTCTAGATCAATAAGTACATCTTACAGTGAAGCTTGGTTTATTATGCAGGAATGCAGTATAAACTGACAGACAAGCAAGAACCACGAGAACGCTAACATGCTCAATTTAGTCTCATTAAATCTGCTTGATCGCCGTTTCAAACTCTCCAAGAAAAGCCCACAGAGTTTTCTCCCGCCAATTCTTCTCCTTCCAACCATTAGCCGACAAGGGAAACAGATCCACGCATTTTAACAGGCTGGCATCGTGAGCATATATAAACCAGATATTGCTGTCCGCGTCTGCCACCTGTGCTTTCTCAATTGTATCTATTGTCTGTTCGATATCAAGCCCCATGGCTGGTCGGAAGAATGGCTTGTCCGCCGATCCAGTCCGTCGGACTAGCAACTGCTCATATACCGAGTCACCGGGACAAGGAAACGAAATTGGAGTAGCGAAGCTCGGTTGAATATCACGAGGAATGGGGAGGTGCTTCGATGGCCTAATCTCCCCACTGTGGTGGCAGAGGTCACCTCCCATAAAAATGAATGTGTCCGGATTAGTCGTGGTACGTGCCAATGCACCAAGGTGACCGACTGCGTGGCCTGGACTGTCTATGATATAGAATGAACCATCGCCGAAGAAATCAACAGCTGCAAACTGGCCAACTTGGACAGTGTCTGAGAAGTCTATTTCTCGTAGATTTCGTCCACTTTGACGGTCAGCCGATGAGCAAAGATCCATTTTAATATTTAATAGGAAACTCCTGCGGGCTGTTCAAACACTTACGCAAAGTCACTTTCGCGTACAGGAGAGTCGGATTTCCCTGGATAACCAGGAAGGAACGCAGTCTTAAATCCAGGGCCGACAATGAGTTCAGTGGAGGGAGGAAATCGCGATGGGTCACCAATATGATCCCAGTGCCAGTGGCTTCCCGCAGATATAAACCTTAGCACCTCGCAATATTCGTGAATTTATCGATAAACGAATAATGTACGTACCTCCAGACGATAGCGGAAATTTCGTTTGCCGAGATACCATTTCTGTCGAGAGTATCGATCACCTCTTCCTTGACATCAACATTCCATCCCTGCGCTTTGAGATGTCGACAGACCGTTGGCGCAAACGAGTTCAAATCTTTCGGAACTCCAAGGTCATAAAGAATCTTTTGACCGGAAGGATGCTCGACCAGGAATGACCAGGCAGGAAGCGGAGGCATATATTCCATCCCCTCCATTGGAGGTTCCATGAGAAACCCCAGTTGTAAGTTGCCAATTCTAGTAGTAGAATCGATGATTCGAACCTGGACGCTTTGGTCCCCCGGTGGCACAGTGAAGTGCGACATGATTAGCTAGGGATAACCTTCGAAAGACACAGAAGAAAAACTCCAGAGAGTCTAATATTTCTATGAGTGCCCAGTGCCAGGCCAAAACGCCATTTTAGGGACTTTCACGATAACGTGCCTAATCGGGCTAGCGCGTCACCCCTCACATAGACCCCTCATTCGTGCTATGCGACATTGGGAGCTTGCGAAACACTTATATGTAGTTGAAGCAATATTCGGATGCTACCGACGGGTTGAATACTTGACATTTGACTGCAATATGAGATTGGATACTATATCGGAAAAAGATAGAATTCAACCCAAGTTCTATTAGAAGCAAAGACTGCACTAATTACTAGACCAAAGACCTAACCATTTACCCTCCTACCAATAGGACCGATCCAGAACTTGCACTTAAAACTCGCTTGAGAACGGAGCCGGTAGTTGGGTGCTCAACACTGACAAGTCGTCCATCAACCAGGTTGAAAATAAACTCGTCGGAGGGACCACCAAAGTCAAGGTTCATCCACACAAAGGAGTTATCAAACAAGCCTCCATTCCCACCTTCCACAGCAGCACGAGGCTTTATCGGGGTTTGAGGCTCCACCATACGGTGCGCCACACGAATAGTACCCTTGGTCTTGTACAAGGAAGACAAGGACCTCGAGAACGAGTTGAGACCGGTCGGATAGAGACGCCAATGCGCATGATCGCGGATGTTAGTGCCCTTAATCCAGAATGATTTCAGCCCGAGCCCGGGGCGGCCTCGGTCAACAGAAAGTGTGAGGTTTGTATCCGGTGATGTCTGGTCGACGAACGTACCAGCCAGGGTCCGCTTGGCATTCTCTACTGCTGCATGTTCGGCAGCGGGGATGAATTTCTCGCCAACCACGTCGCGTAGGGGCCAGCGGGCGGGCGTCGCAGTGAAACCGGCAACCAAGATGGAGTAGCCGATGCCGTGGTCTGGGGACAGGGCAAATATGGCTGTGTAGTCGACATTTCCACCGGCCTTGGTGTATAGATCTGAGATCCTAGTGCGGTTTGAGCCTGGCGTAACGGGAATCTCTAGGCGAGAAATTTCCCATGGGGCACCGACGAGCTCGACCAGGCTGCCAGTTCCACTGCTGGGTTTCATCCATTGCGATGTTGTGGCGGGGGGGAGTAGCTCGGAGTTCAAGATGGCAAGACCTGCGGTGCGGAGATCTGCGGCGTTGGAGTAGTAACTGCCAGTTCTGTGGGGCTGGTTAGTGTGTGACTTTGATTCGGATTATGAAGCAGCATAAAAAAGAAAGAGAAAGAAAGGAAACCGAAAAAAGAACATACGACGCAACAACTTCTATGTCACCAGCCCATGATGTGTTCTTGTCAATGACTCGGCGATCGATAACGTTAAGATCAGGCCCTGTTGGCACTTTTGTCGACATGGACTCTAGGCCTAGTGGATCAAATAGAACCTCCTGGACAGCTTCGCTGTAAGGCTTTCCCAACAGGCGCGCAAGTACCTGCCCTAGGACAGCGAAGCCGCCATCAGAATAGACGGCATTTCGGAATGGAGAAATCACAGGCTTTTTCTCGTCGCGGAAGGACTTCAGAAGATCTGCGCACGGCATACATTAGCGGTTTCCTAACTGAGAGAATGGATCATGTAAAATTACCTTCGGGTGCATAGTGCAATGGCCTATCGGGATCCTGGTAGTCCTGGAGGAAGTCTAGCGGAGAAGTCAGCACCAGCGATCTAGCGTTTCATAAGAACACAAACCAGCGACACCCCCAGAGCCAGCCTGCTGAGATGCTAGCGCTCCAATTGTGATATCCTCCCAGCGTATTCTCTCCAATGGATCGTTGGCCGAATTGCCCGCCAGTTCGGGGAGGTACTTTGTCACAGGCTGGCTGAATACTTCTATGCCTGCCTTGGCGATTATTGCGTAGACGGTGAAGAGTTTCGTCACACTTCCGAGGCGTGAGATCGTCTTGTCATTAAATTCTCCAGACGTCACGGACTGTTTGGAGTTCTCTCCGACGTGCGAATAGCTGTAGATGGATTTATTGGTAGCAGCCGAAAACACGTCAATGTGGAAGGCTAGATCTGTGCGGTTGAGAGCGCCGGTTGAGAAGAGGTTATTAATTAAGCCAGGGAATTCCGATTTGGCATGGCTGATCGCGCTTGTATTGGAGGGATCAAAGTTGGAGAGGAAGGATGGACCGAGCAAAGGGACCTCATCTGTGGCAATGATGTGCGCTGTTGAGCTAACAGCAAGTCCCCATAGGGACCCAAGCAATGCTTTGTCAAGACGCATGGCGAAGTTTTAAAATTCTGGTAAACACGAGGAACGTTGCGTCTCAGGAGATCGAATTGATTCTGTCTGGAGTCTAACAGTCGCTGTCCTGTATCTTATATGTTGATATCTGTTGTGGCTTTAGTGCACATGAAGGACTTCGGACATATCCAAGAGGCACGTAGGCCAAGCCAACATGTTGTCCAGATACGGTTGGTTACAGCGCTATCCCGCCATCCGTTCCCTCGAGATCTCGATCGTGTACAGCAATACGAAAGGCTGAGCCAATTTAGCCCCAGACCACCGACAGCTGGTAAGTAAACGGCAAGTTGGTGCGCTTGCGCTTGGCATTCGTGATCTTGAACTTTATGTTGAAAGGCTTATAAGCTTGGCAGCCCTGAGGCAAATAAGGGGTGACATCACCTCTCTATACCTGCCGATTCCTCGTCAATTTTTCGTGCCAACCGCAAATAATCCAGGAGAGGTGTTGTCTACGTCATGTTGGGAGATTTGGGTACTCGTGCTGCATCAAGGCCCCCAATGCACAGCCCTGTATCAACATACCTATGCTTGTATCTGATAGTTCTGAAAATCCTTGATCCCGGGACTCGTGTGGCATGGGTGACACAGGTCAGTGCTTGAAACTATGCAAGCAGCTAACAATGAGACTCGTACGCTAGTCGCACGATATGGCTCTATATTTTCTCATGAGGTTGAATTTAGCTTTCGGGTATATATTGCTGTTGTCCCCTCCGTTCATATAGGCGTCGTTGAGAAAATTCCAAATGAAATTGATCCATGGTAACCTGTTGGCAGATTCGCATGACGCCATGCCTCTGTGCTTGTGATATTTTTCTCCACACACATAGATCTATCTCCTTCCCCCATAGTGATACTTCCATTAGCTCCCACTATTAGTGGGATTCCTTGGCAAGGATCAGGTACATACCCGGCGCATCATGTTACCTGTTACGGTATGTGATCATCATCCATGGATGCCACCTGCTGGGCACGAAATACGAAAATGATATGTAGTCTATGAATAAGCATCCATGGATAATGATGTAAACGAGGCAGACAATTCCAACACGAACTATGCACACTATGCACACTATGCAAACCATGCCAACACAACAAACAATCAGACTCCATAACCGCCTGAACGGTTAAGACAATTCGGGCCGAGTGTGGAATTTACCCGCACTCCCGCATTTCCTCCGTCACACTCGAACGGGGAATTTTAGTCCGGGGCATGGACTCTCGGCTAAATAAGAGAAGAGAGGTTAAAGAGGTGGGCATTTCCTTCCTCAATCACTATCATTTTCTTTATTTCTCTTTCTATTTCATTAACATCCAAAATGGCTCGAGTACTTGAAGGGAAATTCGGCATCATCACTGGCGGATCGCGGGGTAAAGCCTAGCCTCCCCCGCATACCAAGAGACCAAGCTAACAAAACCATCTACACAGGAATTGGCGAAGCAATTGCCCGCAATCTGGCCGCAAAAGGCTGCTCACTGCTTCTGAACTTCACTTCAGAGTCCTCGCGCGCCCCCACCGAAGCATTGTGCTCCTCCTTAGCCACAACACATAACATCAAATGCGAGAGCGTGCAAGCCAATCTGAGCAAACCCGCCGAAGCTGTGACAGCGATCGTCACCGCCGCAAACGACCATTTTAGCACCTCGGGAAAACTCCAGATTGACATTCTGATCAACAATGCCGGCGTATCGCAAGACCGGAACCTGAACGACGCCACCAAGGGCCCCATCGAGGCCGAGCACTTCAACTGGCAATACTCGATCAATGTCCTCGCCCCGCTCCTCCTCACACAGGCTTGCGCTCCCTTCCTCCCAACCGACCGAAGCGGCCGCATCGTGAACATCTCTAGTGTATCCTCGTCACTCGGTTTTGTGGGCCAGTCGATCTACGGCGGTACCAAGGCTGCCATTGAGGCGATGACCCGCACCTGGGCACGTGAGCTGGCAGACCGTGCGACTGTTAATGCGGTTAACCCCGGCCCGGTTGTTGGTGATATGTACTTTGCCACCGGAGAGCAGTTCTGGAAGGATATCCAAGGATACCAGGATAACACGCCTATGAGCAAGTTGGATCTGAATAATGAGGACACCGTGAGCCGCTTGACTGATGAGCAGAAGCGGTTGATTCAGGAGAAGATGGGTGGCCGTCGACCGGCTTTCACTAGTGAGATTGCGGGTGTTGTTGGCATGTTGTGTACACCTGATGGTCTTTGGTGTACTGGCAGTGTGGTATGTGCCAACGGTGGAATGAAGATGGGACAATAAAAGAATATAATCAATTGCAGACCATCTTACCTTCTTACTGGAGCATATGAGTTGTTTGTCCTGTGTGTGATTAACCTCAACAGGAGCCTAGGTAGGCCATCAACCCCATGTCAGCGCTAAGCTTGGAATTCAGCCTCCAAACTGTGAGTCATTGATAATACTATCTTGATATCTGCTATCCCATGAAACCAGCCATAAAAGAGATGAACATACACCAGAACTTGGAACTAGTAGTCCGCACTCTCTCTAGAGTAAAATCTGGTATCATCAGCCCACCAAACCAAAATGCAAGGATTCTCCTTCCCACCGGACTTCACAATTCCTACTCCGCGTCTCCAAATCAGCCCCTTCAACCAAGACCGACCAAACCCACTGCGCCTTCTTAGTCCAACTGTGGAATACAGACGATTTCATCAGCTCCTGCGGGAAAACCGGAATCACCACACCGGAAGAGGCATTTTCATTCCTTCAAGCAGAGAGTCAGAACACTACGCCTACCATGGTTACGGCATGTTCCTAGTCTCGAGATAGTCAGATGACGGCGTGAAGCCGATCGGCACTGTATCGCTCATGAGGGGAATTCCACCAGGCCCACATTATCTTGCCCCGGATATCGGGTTTGCCATGTTACCCAAAGGTATGGAAGGGGTATGCGGCCGAGGCAGCAAAGGTTCCTTTGGAGTATGCAAATAAGAGCTTTGGGGTGAATTCTGTGTTTGTGTTTTGTTCGTCTGCCAATCAACCGGGTCGGGGCGCGTTGGAGAAGATTGGGATGGAGTTTAGAGGGGTGAAGGCTTTGAAGATCTTTGATGGAAAGGATAATGCTATATATGTTTTGCCCGGGATGAGTAATGATTTGAGGTTCAATCTTGACTGAATCAAGGTATTGTTCTATGGCGTATTATCAAGCATATCGTTGCTTTTATTCTTTTCGAGTAACTTCGTATTCTCTTATGCTATTGTACTTCCGGGCCAAGTCTTTAGCTAAACTCTCATTTGTCATTTCTCATGGCATTTGACCATAGATTCGGTCTCCTTCTGATGGTGGCTGCAGAAAGTCCGCAGGGGGGTTTTGAGGCAGCTGGTTCTCTTCAGCCCAACGACGGATGGCTTCGAAGTTTTTACACCGATGTTGGGTGTTGAAGTCGACATAGGGCTCCGGGTTCTCGGGGTAAATCCAGACTTGACCCAATACTCCACTGT